GCTACATTGACCACGTCTTTGGCAAAAGAGGCCTTCTGTCAGTCAACTAGCTCTAGTCCTCACCGCGCCCATCCTGTTTCTATCCGGAATACCAAGTATATCATTTCCTATGCCCTAGTCTCTTATGTGCCAACCCACAAATGTTGTGGTCCAACATTGAGCCTGATTAAAGCAAGCAGTATTAAAACATATGTGTATTGTGGTTTTAATTTAGTATTTATTCACCATCAATTGATCTAGAATACTGTCATTTTAAGGCGTGTTCTCTGGAACTGCGATAGAAAACTATTTTAAAGTCTCGTCCAAGGGCCCATGCATAGATAATACGAATGGGGCGATATTGCTGTTTGCCTTGTTCAGCTCATTTTAGTCGTCTACTCAATGTTTTCAATACAATTCGTCCTATTTATATTCTGATTTTGTACTCATATCACTCAGTACCAAGCGACTTGGAAATACAATGAATAAGGTCATGGGCCTTCGCCTATTTATGCAATCTTGCTGATCCCTACTCGTTCTTTTCTCATCACTCATCTAATTTACTTTCTTTATAGAACTTATTTGGCCTTTTTGGATTTCGACTGTAATGTTCTCATTATCACTGTTCGTGCCGGCATTCATCCTGCGGAAACCTTCAATTTGGAAGTCACTGACCGGCTAAAAACATCTCGCCAGTCTCGGCGAGGTACTCATGACAACGCTACAACAGAAGGCCTTCATAGTATAGACTCCCCATTCTATATTCCAGATGCGCCTCTTCCCTGGCCCTGCCGAGACGATGAAGACTCTGATTGAATCGCTTTATTAACCGTCCTCGTCCGCGCCAATTACATGGTCAAAATGTGCTTTAGCTCATTTTGCTTTGTTATCTCTAATAAAAAAATGTCTACTGATATTTGCTACTACTTTTCCTTTAATATTAATCACTTTAAGGTGGAATTTGCTTCCTTCACAGCCCATCTGGATTGGGTTCTTACAATTGATTTTACGTCGTTATATATGAATCTAACATGTATTTGCG